TGTGCGTTTGAGGAACTGAAAAATTGGAATTTAATGCTCAGAGTATCTTTTGAAACAATACAGAGCCAATATTCACGTATACCCGATGTGCGCTTAAAGCTTTGTTCTGAGTTGCTCCAATTCTTAGATGCTTGTCTTCTTTGACAGAACTACGCGACGTTAGTATAGCACTTAGGTCATGGCTTCCATGTTGAACATGATCTCTCCTTGAAAAGGAAAATTAAGAGCGGTAATTATGAAAAAAGGTTGTACGGTTCAAGCTGACAGGCCCTTTGAAAGTAAAACTCGAATGGCCCCTAGATCCGAGCCAGGTATCCAATTTGCGAAGAAGAGACGAGAAAGGCGGTGAAAGTGCCGTGCGCGACTTTCGCACCAGGGCGATTTGATTTGAAACAAAAGTGCTAAAGACTTACGTTGACGAGGCCGAAGCAACTTTATCGCGTTCACGAGATTTTTCAAGCAATGACTTTTTCTCAGAGACATTTGACGATTCGGGAATATTCTGAAGATTATAATCTGATTTGACAGCAATTTCTCCCTCAAAAAGTAATTCTCTCTGTCATACGAGGGGCGCGGATTGGAATGCAGCCAGAGCCAGCCCAATGATTGGTGAAAAGGGCTGTCCTAACTTGCTGGAATCCACGCCTCTTCATTCTGTCTCCTCCACACACCCTATCTTTTCCAGGGATAATGAACGTACCATTGATACCTTCACCTCTACAGGTTTCACTTGCTCGAGGGCGACTTTGTAATTGTCGTTCTCTTTTCTCAAGGAATCAACCTCCGATCGAAGCTTGATATTTTCCTTCTGATACGGTTTCAGTGCCTTCTGCAGTGGATCAATTTTTTTTATCAGATAGGCGGAAATGTTACTTGGAAAGCACCTCGAGGCTCGAGACTTTCTTGCGCAAGACCTGCATCTGCTCTTCTTTCTGTATGCATAAAGAACGCAGTTCTTCATTTTCCTCCACATGGCGTTTCTGCAACCAAAGCTGGATAAAAGATCAGGAAAACGCGCTGAACGCGACGAGCATTACGACCTTACTGATTTGACGCGAAAGCGCCCAATTTTAGCCGATTCAACTTCTTTGGA